TAATAATGATAATAATAATAATAATAATAATAATAATAATAATAATAATAATAATAATAATAATAATAATGATAATAATAGCAATAATAATAATAATAATAATGATAATAATAATAATAATAATAATAATAATAATAATAATAATAATAATAATAATAATAATAATAATAATAATAATAATAATAATAATAATAATAATAATAATAATAATAATAATAATAATAATAATATGCTGCTTCCAGACGTATATGTTCGTGTTATTTTCTTATCCAATCATATTTCAGCCTCAGGTGTTGCCAGGTTGAAAGAAATCTGCCCTGAGGCCTTCAGTGTCAGTAGTGCTGGCGCTGGGAGTATTACGTTGGTGATTTGAGTGATTTGATTGGACGGTCAGAGAAAACACACCGTTTTCAATCTAACGACCTGTACCAGGCACCTGGTACGATCGAAAGTGACGTTTTCTCTGTTTCTGTCGAGCGGACATTCTCAGCCTGAAGCGATTTAAAAGTTAAGCCACAAATACGACCAGACAGAGTGGACTTTAATCGTTAGCATGAATGACGACAGAAGAGAAACACACGGATAATCTGCCCAACAACAGTCACTGAACTCGTCTTAAAGAAACACAGGAGGGATTTAATGTTCAACAAATGTCGTTTAGGTGAGTGAAAAACATTGTCTTTTTAAAAAAATATATAATATTGCTATTGTAAATATAACGTTATTTGTCAGTGTATCAGTGAGAGTTTAAGGCACTCTGCTTTACGGCACTGTTACGACGTTGAAAGGTTTTACGTCTGCTATATGAGAATGAGCCGAGATATTTTAGATAAAGTTGTGGATAAAAACTAAAAGTCTTATTTTAACATTCAGTGATTTATTACATTATTAATGATGTTTTTTAGATGTAAATTATGTCGTTGTTATTGTTACATACGTTACATTACATTTCTCCATAACACGGATGGTTTCTGTAGACACGATGACGTCATTGTGATTTATTTATTTTACACAGGACGCCACCAAAAGTGGTCAGTGTCAGTACTGTGGTGGTCAGTGTCAGTACTACTGCGGTGGTCAGTGATTGTGCTGTGGTGGTCAGTGGTCAGTACTGCGGTGGTCAGTGATTGTACTGTGGTGGTCAGTGTCACTACTGCGGTGGTCAGTGCCAGTACTGTGGTGGTCAGTGATTGTACTGTGGTGGTCAGTGTCAGTACTGCGGTGGTCAGTGTCAGTACTGCGGTGGTCAGTGTCAGTACTGCGGTGGTCAGTGGTCAGTGTCAGTACTGTGGTGGTCGGTGTCAGTACTGCGGTGGTCAGTGACTGTAAAAGCAGCTGAGAGCTGCAGTAGCCTCGTCTTTTATTGAAAGTGTGTCGCTGTAAAAACCAATCAGTGTCCGCTGACATTTACGGCAGGTTTTACTGCAGTTCATACAGTGAGAGGAGCTTTAACAAAGTTCAAGTGGCTCCTGAAGTGTCTGAGATCTGAGATCTACGACCACCGAACTGCTCCTCCTCTGGACCTGGAACTTTAACTGTTCTCTGTGAGGCTGTGGGTTCAACAGCTGCAGGATTGATTCAACCAGGAGACACTGTCTGTCCACCTAAGTCCTGTCTGTGCTCCTAAGTCCTGTCTGTCCTCCTAAGTCCTGTCTGTCCTTCTCCTTCCTGTCTCTCCACTTTTCAATTTCCTTTTTTGGCAGGAAATGGATTTCACTCCTGTTTCCTGTGAGCTGACTTTTAGCAAAGATGGACAAAAAGGAAGACAGTACTGCAGTGGTAAGTGGTCAGTACTGCGGTGGTCCGTGGTCAGTACTGCAGTGGTCAGTGACTGTACTGCGGTGGTCAGTGGTCAGTACTGCGGTGGTCAGTGGTCAGTACTGCGGTGGTCAGTGGTCAGTACTGCGGTGGTCAGTGACTGTACTGCAGTGGTCAGTACTGCGGTGGTCAGTGGTCAGTACTGCGGTGGTCAGTGACTGTACTTGTAGTCAAACAGGAACTATATTCAATTCTTCTCCACCGTTTTACAAACCTAGTTCTAAAGATATAGATCTAGAACTGATAGACCAGCAGCGTCTGAGTCAACGTGAAAGGATTTCAATTACAATTTACCCACAATTCCCAGTTGGTAGAAAGCTGAGACGGTCAGTCTGGGTACTTGGCAGATAAATACTGTGTTAGTGTGTGAGGAGTATAAAACGTCCCTGACCATAAATGTAGTACTGTGTACTCCACGTACTTTTAAAATGAGTATTCAGGGTTATAGTAGTGCAGTTTTACTACAAACGTTTTTACATTGATTTTTCAGGTTTTCTCTGATGGAAACGGAACCTGTAAAAGTTTTATTTAACTCTGATGGAAACGGAACCTGTAAAAGTGTTTAGACTTTTATGTAGAGAAATAGTTGTTTTCTGTAAAACATTTTTATATAATAACTGACTTACATTTGTGTCTTTGAATGCACCATCTGTATTTACTAAGGCTGAGCAGCCACTCTTGTCATGCTTGTGTCTGGCGCCCTCTAGTGATCAAATGACAAACGTAAACACTCGTATTGTGGCGGAGAAGATTTCAGTCGTTTACAGCTTTAAGACAAAACGACTGATTAAAACACAGTCGTTTGAAAACATGTCCCCACTGATGAGGGGAACTGTTTCTGTTCTGGTACTTTCTACCATAAGAACCGATTCTAACAAATAGTTTATTGTGTATTTAAACGCAAAATGCGTTCACTATGACAAAAGTAAGGCTAAAATGTGGAGAAATAAAGTAGGACACGAGGCAAAAGATGATCAGAAATACAAAACGATACAAACGGTCAAAGAAGACAAAACAAAGGTGTAAAAGAGCTGGGTGTATGCTAAAGAGGTTAGCCACAGTTAGCCAATCAATACACAACGAGACAGAGTACATGGAAAGGTCAAGGTCAAGTTTGTGTCAAGTTGTAGTGTGAAAAAAAATTAGGCTTTTATTTTTAGTAAGGCAAAAAAAAAAAAAAGACAAAAAGACAAGGGCGTCAGATGTTTTGAAGGAGGAATGAAGGAAAACATCAGTCACCAGAAGAGGGGGGTAAAGACACCAACTGTGTTGTCCTGATGCCAGTTCCCAGAAAACAACACAGACAAACTCCAGAGGACACAGAGTCAACCGTGTCCCTCAGGTGATACCAGCCTCCCATGTGACTCGGATGCCCCCCCCAACCCCCCCTCCACACCTTGACCGTGGTGTTCACAACATCCTGGCATTAGAGCGGGGCGTGGCCTCCTCTGTTTTACTGTGATGTCTGTCTTTAAAGTCATCAGAGGAAAAACAGCAGAATCTGCTCCTGATGAAGAGGAGAAACAGTCGGACAGTCGGACAGTCGGGTCGACTGGTGCTGCTCGGTTCTGGACGTCTCAGAACTGAGATGAACCTGGTCAAGGACAGGACGTTCACCTAGGTGTGTGTGTTGTTTGGGAGGACATATTGTCCACAGAGGACGACAGCAGGACAATCTCTTAAAATAATGGACAGAAAAAAAAAAAAAAAAAATCTGTGCTGCCCTAGAGTTGAGACGTGTTTTAGAGCAGGTTTAAATGTCGGAGTTGCACAACGGTGTTTTTGTTTTTCTTTTCTGCAGGAGTGTGTGTGTGTGTGTGTGTGTGTGTGGTGTGTCCGTGACCTCACAGCGTCCCTGCTTCCTCTCTCTGCTGGATCTTTGTCAGTTTTTATCTCTGTGGCGTTCCTGAAAGACTCCAGTGATGTCACCGTCCCACCCTGTCAACCAACCACAGGAGGGTTGCCGTGGAAACGTCTGGCTGGGCAGCCACTGGTTTTCCACATCATACAGGAGGAGGAGCCGCTCACATCTGGTCTCAAGTCTGTAAACTTGTTTTTCTTTCTTATTAAAGCTCCAACCTGAGGCTGAAACTGGTTTCTGAAATATATTTACACTGCGGCCCAGATTTGGCCCCCGGGCCTCAGTTTGACACCAGAGGGTCCCCTGAATGACACTCCATGGCCGGGGTCCAACAGCAGGAGGTGGGGGGGGGGACAGACATGTGGTCCGGTCCACTTTAATAACCTTCACACGTGGACACTTTAACGACAGAAAGTGACAAACACTGAATTGTTTTATGGAGGAGAGACGGTTCCTGAGCAGCAGACACTGACATAAACAGAACCAAGAACAGAACCAAGAACAAAACCCAGAACAGAACCAAGAACAGAACCCAGAGAAGAACCCAGAGAAGAACAGAACCCAGAGAAGAACAGAACCAATAACAGAACCCAGAGAAGAACGGAGCCAAGAACAGACCCCAGATAAGAACAGAACCAAGAACAGAACCCAGAGAAGAACAGAACCAATAACAGAACCCAGAGAAGAACGGAGCCAAGAACAGACCCCAGATAAGAACAGAACCAAGAACAGAACCCAGAGAAGAACAGAACCAAGAACAGAACCCAGAACAGAACCAAGAACAGAACCCAGAACAGAACCAAGAACAGAACCAAGAACAAAACCCAGAACAGAACCAAGAACAGAACCCAGAGAAGAACAGAACCAAGAGAAGAACAGAACCCAGAGAAGAACCCAGAGAAGAACAGAACCCAGAGAAGAACAGGAACCGAGTCAGAACAGTCCTGTCTTTGTTTTATTTTCTCATTATCTACAACTAAAAGAAAACGGATCATTTAAAAAAGCAGGAGACACAGCTGTGTCTCTGTCAGGGAGGAAGAAACGCTGCGTGGAACTGGAAACGACAAGTGAAGAGTCAACAGAGGAACAGTCTGATCTTTGTGCCGCGCTCACACACACACACACACACACACACACATACCTGCGGCCGTCCAGCCACACAGCACAAACTGACAGGAGAGAAAAGTTTGTTTGTAACGTCTACATTTTGTGAGGCAGTAAAAGAGCAGTGAAGATCTGAGTTCATGGAGGACGGACGCTGAGCAGATGTTTGTGACACAGGGAGCTGCAGAACCAGAACCAGAACCAGACCCAGACCAGAACTGTTCTTGAGGCCCAGGGTCTCAAGGGTCAACAAACACAGAAGTTTAAGCTGTAGTTTGTAAATGTCTCCGTCCTCCTACTGGTGAACTACAGATGTCCACAAAGGACTTCACACCAACACAGGACACAAGACAGAGAGGACAGACCAGGACACGACACGAGTAAAAGGTTCGTGGACCTGGACCTGGACCTGGACCAGGACACGACAGGAGTAAAAGGGTCGTACGTTTGACATCGACCTTCACGTCCAAACAGATCCATCAAGACAGAAGAGTTTGGTCATATGTGGAGGAATAAAAAAAAAAAAAAAAAAACACCCGCCCGGACCTGGACCCGGGCCCGGGCCCGGACCCGGGCCAGAAC